GAAAGTTCTTTTACAACTATAGCATATGTAAGTGATTCTTTTACAACAAATACGCAAGTTGGAGAATTCAGTTTAAAGGTCGTAAAATTAGCAAGATTCATGTGAATGAAGCAAATAATTATAAGGAATTGATGAAATTACTCATCGGTGATATTAGTTTAATCCAACGTCACAGAGGACACATTTTGAGTAGTTACTATAAAATTAAACCTAATTACAGACTATTAAAGACTAAAGATGGGCGAATAACTTTATAACTGTTATATAAACACACATACGCACATACACACACACGCACACACATATACATACATACATACACATACACACACACACATACACACACACACACACATACACACACACACACATACACTCACACACACATATACATAATTTATCTTATTATCAAAAAAAAACAAAACATGAACAAAATAAAAAAAGGAAATAAAATAATAAATAAAAACAGAAAGTGATGAGATAAGAAATTTGTTAATATCAAATAACAAACTGATAACAAAACATCTCTTCGCAAATGATAAATCAAATAGCTATAAAATTTTCCAAACAAAATTAAATTATTAAAATCGAAATATATCCGTGAATCACTACATAATTAAAGGTAATTGATCATAAGTCATATGTCATATACAATTAGGGCTATAGACTCATTGTCATAATAAATTATTAGTAATAGCGGATGATAAGACAAAAGAAAAGTTGTCTAAAGAAAAATACCTTGCTAAAGATTTATACAATCATTTTGAATTATGCAAATAAAAAGAATGAAGCATTAATCTTAATTTAATTAATGAAAAAAAGAAAACAATAATTGAAAATCATTAAAATTCAAAAATTTTGTCAAAACTATTGCATATAAACGTATCATTTGTACACTTTTTAGGTTTGCATGTAATTTGATTAATTGCATGTTTCATTCTTCAATGCACGTAACACGTTGTCCATTTCCATCAAACTATTTAGGGAATGTCATGGGTAGGCTTTATAATCAAAGATTTGGAAAGGACTTCATATACACACTTGCTACAGACGCTATAAATGTGATTGTATCTTTTCAACCTATACCAGTGGTTTTTTTTTTTTAAATTTAAGTTAAGAATAATATATACGCAACTGGCTCTATATTATTTACTCCTAAGGGAAGAATTTGCGCCGAACTGACTTCACTCTTTACTACTAAGTTATGGCCTTATGAGCTAGGGTGGTGACAGTGAAATTTTCAGAACGTAGGTTTTGTTCGTTTGTGGTAGATAGCCGTATAACTTCATCTCCATCTACTCTGATCCATTTACTTAGGTTTAAGATTAGAATAGTCATTCTTCTAGGATGATTACGGGAAGTTAGCAAGCCTAACCTGACCGTAGAAGCACTTTGACCTTTCAATTAGGACCTGTCCAGTACGGGAGATGATACCGTAGGTATTTGCTATTGCAAGCATGACTTGCAACCTCGTAAGGGTATGCAAGGTTTTCCACGGCGACATGGAGGATATCCGTGGAGAAGTGTGGGAATTGTATGAACGTGGGAAAATAGCTATCCTCAAGGGGTAAGCAATTCGTTGACGAGAGAATGTGTTGATTGGGTGTCCTCTCTCTATCGAAGGTTTTTTTTTTGACGTATGCTTGTGGTAATCCAACGTGTCATATAATTTGATGGCTAATTTTTGATGAAATTTGTCACCATTATATGATAGATAGGGAATTGTCTTACTCAGTTAGTTGACATCAAACTCATAAAGACAGGAACTTGACAAGTGTTACACGTAACTTTCTTGATGCATCTATTCTTGTGTTTTTCATTTTACTTCATTCTAATGATCATTGTAAGAAATTACTAAAGTGAAGTGATAAGTAATTATATTCTTTATCATTTGAATTATCTTGATGATATTAGATAAAATATTGTGAGGAATTACTAAAGTTTGATAATATGATTATATTCCTTATCTTATGATTATATTCCTTATCTTTTTTTTGATAATATGATTATATTCCTTATCTTTATATGATTATATTCCTTATCTATATTTCCTTAAGTTTGATAATATGATTATATTCCTTATCATTTGAATTGTCTTGATAATCTTAGATAGGATGAAAAGAAATCTTATAATATTCATTGATTTAAGAATAATGCTAATATGAAATAATATAGATTAGTCTATAATTCTCATTAAAATATGACAAATTTCATGTTCCTTTTTCTTTCTGAACATCTAAAATTTCCGAAAAGGCTCTCTTTTCTTTGAATTTAATCCGATATTTTAGCTAATATTTCGAAAATTGGCAAATTTCTCAGTCAAGTAAAGATATTACTCAATAATGGTAAGTTTTACTTATGGTTATTCAATACTTTTATCTCTTCCGTTTTTGAAGGTTCATATTGAATTGTTTTTTTTTATCATTTTATCAAACGATTGTTTGGTGAAAGAAGTAAATGCTAACTAAATAATGCTTATTTTACCGAGCTAAATCTATCAGAAAATTTTCCAAATATCATTTCTAATTTTTTAACTTTTTTTTTACTTGAAGGTAATTGTAAATTAAACCCAAATTAATTAAACTCAAATTACCTTGCTTATCTGTTGACCTTTTACACCTCTCACATCGATTCCATATCGTGATAGCCTGAGATTATAAGTTTATTTAGAAACGTAAAATTTATTTCTCACAGATCATGCTGCTAAATTTTAATAAATTCATATTTAGGCATCTAAAAGGAAAGGTTTAACAGCCGATGAAAAACGATCGCGAATGTTAGAATTATTTTATGAAAGTAATGAATTTTTTCAGGTAATTTTTTTTTTTGAAATATAGTGAATTCTTTCAGGTGACTTTTTGTTGAAAAAAAAAAAAAAAAACGGTTTATACTTCTTGTCATGAAGTACTGGCGGTTGATCCATTATTTTGATGGAATTTTTTTGAGCCAACAAAGAAGGAAGGACAATGATCTGAAGCGAATAATGATCTAAAGAGACAATGATCTAAAGCACTTGTTTATGTTGTAATACGGGTTGTTACAGTTTGGAAGGAAGTAAGAGGATTTTAAAGATGCATGCTATCTTATAAAGCGATTCAAATTTTGTGAATTGCAAATTCAAGCAACTATAACAACAAGGTGCTGTTAAGTAATACTGTTACAAATTAGCCTAGAATCTAAAGTTATCCTTTTGGAAAATTCAGATGAAGGATCTCGAAAAAATTGCTCCAAAACAGAAAGGAATTGTTCCGCAATCGGTGAAAGAGATAACGCAATTATTGGTTGATGAAGGTTTAGTTGAGTGCGAAAAAATTGGTACGTTCGTTTGCTACTGGGCATTTCCGTCACAAGCAACGATTGTAGTAAGATTCGTTTCTTCTCATTCTCTTTTGTTTTCTTATCATTTTTTAAAGTGTTGGGAAATGATGATTAACTTTCGAGCTAAACCTATCGAAAATTTTTAATCATTAGAACGAGCAGCTTTTATATTCTAAGGACCATAAGCAACACTTCGACATTATAGTAAATAGCTGTACAAACAAACAATACAAGTAATTCATCGATGATCCAAGTTGAAATAAAAGAGATAACAAGGATTAAGCAAATTATGGTAAATGTGGAAAAAGAAGCACTTATTGGAAGACAGATTATTTTAATGATATAAGATGTAGAACAGGTCATTTCTCATCAGCGATATGCATGTCTATTTTTATCTAGTTTCTTCCAGAATGCTTTCGAGATCCTTTTCGAGAATAAAAGGATCAAACTTATTACTGATTTTATAGCATCGATTATTACTTCTTTTTTTTTAATTTTAGCGTAAGAAGCAGCTAAAAGAATTAGATGAAAATATTTCGAATTTGGAAAAGATACTAGAAGAGGTGAAAGCCGATATTGTGGAAGCAAAAAAAGGAAAGGAAGTTAGTTTTCAAAAATGTTCTTATATGATCTCGAACGTAATAATTGATCAAACTTTGATGGGATGGTTTATAAAAGCTAGCAAAATGAATCTGTTCTTAGAAACCGATGAGTAATCTTGTTCAGCACATATTAAATTTATCATCAAGAAGTACTGCACTAACTGAACTGCTCTGATGATTTTGGGAGATCGTGGTATTTAGCATTAAATTGTTATGATAATAGTACGAAAAAGGTTTCTGCAATTTATCTCCCTATCTACAGGCAACGGTAGAGCGGAAAAAGTTAAAATTAGAAATTGATGAATTGCAAACGAAGCACGAGGCATTGACGAAAAAATTGGAAAAACTAAATGAGGAAGGCCCAGAAGCTGTGGCTCGACTTGAAAGTGAAACGGCTAAGATTCGTGATGAAGCAAATCGTTGGACCGGTGAGATTTTCCTGTTTTTCTTTCATCTTCAGGTAATAGATTCTCTGTTGGATATCTATTCTGAGGAACAGAAAGTTCTTATTATAAATCTTTAGGAAAAATAGTTCTGCCAAAAGCGTGGAATTCATGGTTGAATGAAAGATGAATCTTTTTTTTTCTTTGCTGAATCGTAATTTAAAAAGGGAAAAACAAAGTTTAGTTTTTCGCCAATGTTTCAGAAAACATATTTGCGGCGAAGAGATGGTGTAAAAGAAATTTCAACGTCGAAGAAAAAGTGTTGAATGCGCAGTTTGAAATACCGCCAGAACTTGATTATGTCGAATGAAGTATTAATCATTTGCATGTTTTGTTTACTGTTTATGGATAATCTATCTCAATGTTGGTTAAATAACATGGTTTTTTGGGTTGAAATTTCAAATTCATACTTACTTAATCCTCCTATCTCTCTCTCTACCGTCTCCTAGTATTCCTCTCTTTAATTAAGTCTGGTTATTTAGACTGATTCTAATTCTGTTCATAAATGTTTAAATATTTAGAATGGTACTGGACGAAATCCAATCCATTCTTTACAATTTTTTTTTCCAAGTTACGAATAATTTTTATCGATTATATCTTAACCCACATATTCGACTGGTATTCGCCATAAAAACAGGAAATGGTAACTTTGGGCATAATGCGAAGGTGAAAAGATGCTCAGTTGCAGGGATTTTAAGTAAGCCATAAAGACATTCACGTGACGCAACAGTTATACTTTTGTATCGCCGGAGCATTTATTCATTTTCACATTAATTCCGTCATCAGAATTACGGAAATTAGCTATCCCTTCAATTTAATCAGCGTTATGACATCATTCCGACATGTCCTTTTTGCAATACCACCAGAATTTGATTATGTTAGATTATTCCCTTCGATGCCTTCCTCTGGATGCGTTATCAGTGATCAGATTAAAGTTGTAGGCTTACTTCATGAAAATGCATTCTCAGTAAGCCTAAATTTTCAATTTCACCATCCATGTCTGATGGATTTTTTGCTGTATTATATCAAAATTTGTTGGATAAAAAGGCTGAAAGATCGGGAACAAATCGTTAAAATCAGATCAGAAACAAAAAATTGGAATAAGCTTGAATCGGAATGATCGGAAATAAATCGCCAAGATGAATGTGATATGTGTTGCAGCCGAATGAGAGTTACAAATGATACAAGCCTAAACCATAGATATTATGTTCATGATAATGAATTTACTGTCGTAACATTCTTATGTAAAACAGAAATTCGTTAACTGAGTTCCGTGAACTTTTTAAATTCCAACATCTATTTTAAACTGTTAATTTTGCAGAAAACATGTGTATTAAATGTTCTGTAAAAGTATGTATAACACGGTAGCTTACCTCTATTTATTAATATTTCTAATTATAAAATACGATTGCTAAGTTTTACTTCATCCAGGTATGATTTCTGAAATTTATTTTAACAAATTTAACTTTTAAATTAATTTTCGACAGTATTATTTTAACTGTTTCATTCTGCTACAAATACCAATCTTCGTGCAATGTTCTTTTCTTGATGCATAGATTACTTAAAGTGTAAAACTGTTTATGTCTTATGCAATAATGAGATTTCCAATACTATGCTACTAATTTCTGTACATTTGAAGTTTCATCGATCATCCATAATGTTGATAATCATAATACCCTATAAGCTATTTAATTTAAATGCAACATCATTTTGTACTAAACAGGAGAATGGGAATTTATCTTGATTTCTACTTGCCGATTCCGATAAATCTTTTTTTTTCTGAATAAAAATCTTTTTTTTCTGGCTAAAATTTTTGCCATATTTACTTGTTTACTTTCCGGATAGTCTAGTTATACTTGATAAAATGAACTTTCCCAAGGGTAAGTTTGTTAGAATGAGAGACAATAATAAAGTATAATAATAATGTTAATCAGTGGATTTTTATCCATGTTTTCAATTTCTGAAATGAAAATATTCAAAATTTTGCAGTAGTTAAAATGGATGATGAAGGACAACGTGCAGCCGAAACAATCGAATCGTTATCAATTGGTCGTGATGCTTCTGAACAACTCTTTGGAACTCCATCATTGATTGGCTCACAGCCATCAGCCAATTATGGGCTTTATGAGAAGTTCGATTTTACATTTTTGAAAGAAATAAGATTTATCATTTAAGAACTAATATGTCAGACATATACAATCATTGCTATTTTAGTATCATTTATGATACCAATACTGAGGATGCATTTATTGACGTGAATAACGACATACTAACGGTACGATTTGATTTTCATTTTCTTCTTTTTTTTTTTAAAGCACAATTTTATTCTAGAATTTTGACAGTTTTTGCGATTGGAACGTAATAGACTTATTTCAAGGAGTAATCCCGAAATAGTCTGGGAGAACTTTGATTTCAAAAGTTTCTTTTTTCCGAAATATGCTTAATTCATTTCAATTGAGTATTCATCAATAAAATGTTACCAATTTTTTTGACAAAGAAATGATATATTTTGATTTTCAATTTATACTTCGTTTGTTATTGTCTAAATTCTTCGGGACTGGACAATTCCTTTTATTTATTGACAGTGATAAGTAAAGATCATAGAAATATAAATTTTTCAATATAATTGTAGCAATAAGCTGATGTGGACAAGGAGTACAAAAATTACCACTAAAGTTAGTCTATTCCAAAAAAAGTAAACAAATGATTATTGCAAATATTTTAGTTGAACATACCACCAATGGATTTTGAGCGAACAACAAGTGAGGATTTCGCCGATATTATATTATCACAACTTGATAATCGAGATGTAAGTGTTTGGTCGCTATTCGATGTCATATGAAATGTCTTATCTATTTACAGTGAACTGTATGCCTTACATCAATTATCATCAAATATTCATATGTCAGGTGTTCTATTTGAATGCTTAATTTAGGAGAATTTCTCTGGTGATTGTGGCATCGATCCATCAAACGAAATAAATATTGGTCCGTTGAAATCAGTACCACTTTCGGCTGCCAGGTTTTTGAATTTCTGTTCCTTTTTCTTTTATCACAAAATATTTAGCATGAACTGTAAGCTTTTTTAAAATCCAATAAAGTGAAATCGATGATATTTCAGATCAGAAAATGATACACTTCAATTAGAATTTGATGTGACGGTGGAAGGAGGGCGTCAGAGTTCTTATATCGTAAGTATTTAAACTTTTTTTTTTACTTTTTTTCGTTTATTTGATAAGATTGCAAATGCAAGCAGGAATTGGCTACATGTTAGGCTGTGAAGAAAGGCATATTCCGCCTACTATTATACTGTTCAGTTTAGTTTATTTCATTTAATCAAGTCAAAAATAGCTGACTTACTTGTAATAGTTTTCGAAATTAAAAAGAGACGGCGATTTACTTAATCAATAGAAATTTGCATTTCTATTTGCTTAAAAATACAAAAAGGGAGGTCGAGAAGTTTGGTTGTTAAATCGAGCATAGTTTTTCTCTCAATTTCTCTCAGAAATATTTGTTTTTAGTTCAAAGGTCGCTCACTTTTTGCGAAGATGAATACCAATGTCATATTTACAGTGAAGTGTCCTATTCCTCCTCCCCCAAAATCGTTTATTCGAATTTGTGCTATCTATTCGGATAACATTTATGCTAATGTTCCGGTTCGTCGATGCGATTATCATCGTTCGCGGGATAGTGAGTGATTTTCTTTCGAAATTTTTAACTGAATTAGAAAACTACAAAATTCATTTAAGATGACTCTGCAAACCCACAAATGATTGTGGTGGCTGCAAAATTTTTTTGCTATCAGTTAAAGTTCTGAAACGAAAGGAAAATATTTTTATCACAGTTGCAATAATAATTACACAAAGATTTCATCATATCGAGCAATATTTTCTGGACTTTTGCAGAAAATCAGGAAGAGCATTTCGTAATTGTAACCAATAATTCCAAAGCGCAACATCTGACAGAAAAAGTAGAAGGCGAAGAGGGATTCCGTTCATTTGCAATTGTGCCTTTCGACGCACTTCATGCAAATAAATGCTTGGCACTACAGTTTCGATGCTATTCATCTTGTGCTGGTGGTATCAATCGGCGGCAAGTGGTATTGTGTTTTTCTTTGGAGAATGGGTAAATTTTTATTTTTGATTCAGATGCACCAGGTAACTGTTTTCTCGTAAATAACATCAAATTTTTTTATGCTTCATCACATATTGTAGGAAATAAAGTTTGAATTAGTATTACATCAAACTTTAGTGACCAACTACTTGGCGACAGTAAGATGCATCTGAAAGTGTGTTCACTTCCAAGTCGAGATGCAAATTTGGATATTGCTAATGTGCCACGTACGCTTTCGTTTTCGTCATCTTAAAAAATTTTCAATTTTAATTCAAAGGAAAATAGCGGCAGAGAATAAAAATATTCTTGTATATAAACACATGTTTCAGCATTTAACAATAGTATTCAAAGTGAAATATTGTCTGCAGATTAGGATTACAATAGTTATTTTGTTTTTGTTTTTTTTTTTATCTGACATCTGTTGCATATGTTATCGATTGATTGGCTTATTGAGTACATGCAACGAGCAAATGACAACATATTAGCAGTACTGGTTTCTCCACTGATATGGATATATTTTAGTAATAAATCGACATAAACTGTGATATTTACATAGCACTATAATCGAAGCAGATCACAATTCTACTATTTGAGTAGTAACATAAATCAATGACCTGATGTATTTTGCGATACAAAAATTTATTTTAATTCTATTCTGTATATGGTTATTTTTTGATGCTTTTTGTGAACCAAGTTGCTTTTTCCTACGAAGGACAGTTAAGCTCAAGATTTATTGTCTTATCAGATCTATAAAACTTTTTTTGACTCTATTAGGTTAGAATTGGAATTCTGTGTAAATTCGAAAAATAGAAAAAAATAGAGAATAATTTAACTCGAGAATATCGTTCGAGAAATCGTTTAGTTAAAATAAGGTAGTTTTAAGTTCGAAGCATCGAAGATCGGTTTATAGACTCATACTGAGCAATCCAGGAAATACCAAGGGAAATTCGCTGCAAAACCAAAAGGGTTATTGACATTTATACGGTATTTCTGTCTTATCATAGTATTTAATCTTTAAGTATTACATTTAACACGTTAAATCTAACATCTCATGTTATAATCTTTTGTCTAGGAACAAATTGTACATAGGAAATCAGGTGTTAAAAGAAAAAATGGCTTAATGAAAGGCAAACGAAATAAAGTATCTTAGGTAGTAATAAGATTTGGATATAAGGTAGTAAGTGAGGATAAGCTACTTACAGCACTTGGAATTTTGCATAGCAAGGTTTGGATTTTAATAATAATGATGTAATCTGACGATGATTTGCCTGATCATTCATTACTTATGTTGACTAGTCGATTTAATTTTTCAGTCATCTGGAAATTGCAGTAATTGAACGCGATTGGTTAAATACATCTAGCTATCGTTCAGTAGTACTGTGTTAATTATGGATTTCTTGGTTATCTTCAGGTAACAAGCGTCCGGCTGCCAAACATTATCCGGCGGTTGCAGAAGTTGTTTCCGTTTCAACGAAGAATACACCACAACAGTTTTGGGATGACGATGATACAATTTACTCATTGGAGGTAGAATCTACTATGATTTAATTTCCAACGAAATAGAAAATGAAAATTTTGTGTAAAATTCAATTTCTAGATTCGTGGAAGACATTTGTATAAAATAGTTTGTGCTATTGTTGGTAATTTCGAATTGACCAGAAATTTGCTAAAGGATAAAAGTCAAAGAAATGATAGAGATATGTTGACGGTAAGCGACAGTTCAGGTTCGCTATCCCAGAATACTCCCATTGATTCGTAAGTCACAATTTTCCGCCTTTTTTCTTTTTATTTTTTTCTTCATTTCCTGAATTTGTGGGTTTTTCGACCTTCTAAACATCGTTTTAGGTTATGAAGATATCAAGATGTTATCACTCTTTTTGACTTCAGGAAAAGCTTATCCGGTTTGTATTATTGCAGCTGGCTGAATACTTTGGAATTGTCGAAATATAAACACTTATTTGCTGATCGGTCATTATATGTAATTGCTGATCTTGATGGAATCATCAGTAAAATGGTTCTTTCTTTCATAAATTATTCTTCAATTTTGGTTTATTTTCAACTAACTGAGAAATCCAGAAAATAGTGAATTCAAACGTTATTTAATTCGTCAATTGATCGGTTTATGGGGAAAATTAAAAATGTAATTGTCCTCTATCAATGAAGTAAATCAAATCTCTTCAAGTTTTAGTATCTATCGTCGATAGGTGTTACGGAAGAAGATGCAACAAAAATGTTAAACTCATATTTGGCTTGGTTCAACATTTTCAACGCTCAGCGATTGAGCAGTTTGTCATCCGAAGGTTCTACCATCCGAGTGCAAAGGACCCGTGTAAGTGGTTCCCTTCGCGCACCTCACTCCAATTAATCGAAAATTTCTGTTCTTAGTTTTTGAATATGCGTTCAAAATTTTATAATGTATTTTGGAAAATGTTATCTTTTGTCCAGAAATCGTCTGCCAAAATGTAATGTTTCATTACTGAAGTGTCAAGTGTTTTATCAAGTCTTCATCTTTAACAGCTTGTAAAATTCTACAATTACTTCGATCAAATCATTTTGTATATTTGACACTTGGGAAAAGACGAAAAAATATTTGTTGATAAAAATACAATAAAGTTCATTAAAGATAGTGCTTTTTTATTTTCGGTTTTCATTTCGATTGTTTCCATTTTGTATTTTTTCCATTTAATTGATGTGCCGATCTTTTCCTTTTGTTTATGGTTTCGTAATCGTTTGATAGATTGTTGTTGTTTTTTTTTCTTTTTTTGTTTTTCATTTAATAAGTTAATCTTTCCTCCATACACATTTAGTGTTATTCATTTTATCTTACATCATGAAAGACAAAAAACTAGCTATAAGGCTAATCAGTAATTGCGGCTAGCCGATTTAACTAGCCAAACTAGCCGTCATCAATTGTTAAATTGATGTTGTAAATCGAAGGATAAATCTTAACGTTGTTATAATTGGTTATGCTGGTTAAAAAAAATAAAACTTTTTGGATTAGTGTATGTAATATGCATTTAAAAATTCATTAATTAACTAAGATCTAATGAGAATTTATTTTAAGTGAAGTAGAAGAAAACTGCTTCAGTCATTATTAAAGTGACTTTTGATCATCTAATTAATGCAGTAATTATTTGATAATTTTCAGATCGCTTTTAACTCAAATGAAATCTACTCATTCTGTTTCAAATTTATTTATTTCAATTTAAAATAAAAGGCTAAATAAGTTTTCCAATTTATTCGAAATTTTGTGGGATTTCAAATTATCCTTCTATCATCATTAGTGCTTTTTTGATGATAAGCTTTGAACATTTTTCTAATGTTGAAACAATTATGTATAGAACTTTATATAAAAATATGCCTGAACTGGGGAATTTCAATTTTTCAAAGTAAATACGAACAGGTGAAAATTACTTAGGTGAATCCAATTAAATTCTAATATACCTTATGAGCAGTTTGAGTATTCGGAAGAAATCTGAGAATAAGTGATACAGTGATGGTATACGATATTAATGAGCATACGATAGTATGTAGCATGATATTGATGTGTAAATGATACTGTAATGGTTAGTGTACATATCTTGGTATATGATTAGTATTCGGAAGTCTGAGAATAAATTGATAAATTGTTGGTAGAATCGGTGATATGCGTACATTCTCCTTCTTTCCTATATGTATACCTATTAGTTTTCCGTAATTACGAGACGTTGCATATCCAACATTTCACTGTTTATGTGTGTGTGTGTGTGTATGTGCGTGTGCATATGTATATATGTATGTGTGTATGTGTATATGTATGTGTGTGTATATGTATATATACATGTGCATATATGTGTGTATGTATTACATGTATGTGTATATGTGTATGTATATATATACATATATGTGTCGGCACAAAGTGTTTTTGTGCGCGCAGATGTGTGTATGTATGTGTCTGTGTGTACGTATGTATGTGTGTGTGTGTATGTGTGTGTATGTGTGTGTATATTGAAATGTATGTGTGCAGATGTGTATGTATTTCTTAGGCCTAATAGGCATGTAACATTTAGGCATATGTTAATTCTGTCTAGCTTCAATAACTTCCAAATTATTGCTCAATAATTCATAGAGGTATGGTAATTTTATTTAATCCAAGTAACACTTGAAAACTAAACTTAGTATTTTTCCTGTCAAGATACATGTAATAAATACCTGGAAGGTGACATTTCTTCGGATTTTACTTCTGGGATATGTGTTCGCTATCGAAAATGCAATAAATACCTGGAAGGTGACATGTTTCCGGATTTCACTTCTGGGATATGTGTTCGCTATCGAAAATGCAATAAATACCTGGAAGGTGACATGTTTCCGGATTTCACTTCTGGGATATGTGTTGCATTTACGCTATCGAAAGTGCAATAAATACCTGGAAGGTGACAAGGTGACATGTTTCCGGATTTCACTTCTGGGATATGTGTTGCTGCATTTATGCTATCGAAAATGCAATAATAAAATATCATTCATTTAAGGATTTTCTGGAAACCGAAAAAAATGTGAATTCCCGCGGGAATAATTGGAAATATTGTAACGCTTCATTCCTTTTGGTGATATGCTAAGTAAAAGTTGCTTAATTTAAATTGTTTTCAGGATGTTTTGCAGTTTGATAATTTCAATGCGTTTTTTCCATGTATAAAATTTTTACGAATTCATTAACCACGAAAAGAATTCAATGCTAAGAAAAATACGGACAGATAGCTTTTTTGCTAGAATGATTTAAAATACAGAATTCAATTAGTAATTAACGCCACTACTATATATTTATGGAATTCCTTTTCTGTGTGAATCAAAATTTTGAGCTTATCAAACATTTCTTAGCTTTGTACAAACTGTAAAGTTCGAATTAAATTTTTACTGATTAGATGTTAATATTTCTATAGTTTCCGGACTACTTCCGGACGAACTACTCATTTTGATACATGTAACGCAAATAATTATGAGCAATCACTATTGTTCTGAATAACTTTTGTAGGTTAATGTCTTTCTTCTTTTTGTCTTTTGAATAAGACTCATATTAAAGAACTAATTCCGGAATCGAAGAATAGGAAATGAAAGAGAAGAAAGTGAAGTGAAATAAGGCCATGTTTCCACCATCAATAACCTTTCCCGGTTATCAATTTATCCATTTATTTTTAAATGCGATGTAAAAACAATTGAACCCTTTAGATGGACTAGTTTGATTTAGTGCAGAAATTATGCAACTTATCACAATATCAGTAAGATGAGACCCAAAACCAGTTATATTGCACGAAAAGAAAGCAAGCTAATGTAAGCTATTTGAAAATGCGTATGAAAAAGGAATGACAAAAACATGAATAAGAAACGTACAGCTAGCGATGATTAATGCTTCAGAAATTAAATAATACAAAAATCTGGAATTCAAGGAAAAAAAAATTGAAATAGCAAGTCAATATGAATGTGAATAATTTAAATTCTAAAAACTCCGAAACTGCTAGAAAACAATAAATTTTACGAAATAAGAGACTAATCATAAAGATAAAGATGTACAAAACCTGGATAACCAAAATGGAGATGGAATGATGAGATGTATAAAACCCGGACAACCGAAATGTAGATAGGATGATAAGCATAAAAGCTTCATAAACAAAAGTAGCAAAAGGATTCTGAATGGATGTTTCAATATATATATATATATATATATATATATATATATATATATATATATATATATATATATATATATATATATA